GTGGGGGGGGGAGTCAGTGCCGTGGCATAGTGGATAAAGCCGCAGCCTGCAGTGCTGGCATCCTATACGGGCCCCAGTTTAAGTCTCAACTGCTCTTCTTCTGATTCAGCTCTCTGCCATGGCCTAGGAAAGCAGCAGAAGATGGCCCAAGTCCTTGGGCCCATGCACTCATGCAGAAGACCCGGAAGAGGCTCCTGACTCCTGGCTTTGGATCAGCGCAGCTCCAGCTGGCCACTGCGGCCATCTGGGGAGCAAATCAATGGATGGAAGACCTCTCTCTCTCTCTCTTTCTTTCTCTCTCTGCCCCCTCCCCCACCCCCTTAACTCTGCCTTTCAAATAAATAACTATTTAAAAAAATATTATAAGGGCCAGCATCACAGCATAGCTGGTAGAGCCACCATCTGCAATGCTGGCATCCCATATGGGCTCTGGTTTGTGTTCCAGCTGCTCCAATTCTGATCCAGCTCCCTGCTAATGGTCTGGGAAAAGCTGCGGAGGATAGCCGAAGTGTTTAGGTCCCTGCTACCACATGGGAGACCCAGAAGAAGCTCCTGGTTTTGGCCTGGCTTAGTCTCGGATGTTGTGGGGGAGAATGAACCAGTGGATGGAAAAGCTTTCTCTGTGTCTCCCTTTTCTCTGTAACTCTGGCTTAATAAAATAGATCTTATTTTAAAATTTTAAAGAAAAACATATAATCTTTATGGTGACTACACAGAACAGTAAGATGTAATTCCATGTAAGGTTACTATTGTAAGATGTATTATTATTATTACTATCCAGAATCAGCTAATTTTTGGTAATGAAGCTAATTTTTGGTACATGAAGGTATGTATATAGCCTAGAGCACCAATAATTAAGTGCATGGCTACCACAAAAATGTCGTGGAGAACTGGAATTAAAGGATTAGTTTATTTGGTGCAAAGTCATTTTGAAACCCATGTACTTTCTCACAATGCACACTTCCCATGAACAATTTTAAGACCTCTAATCTGCACAGATTTCAAGCTTTTTGCACCAAAGTAGATTTATCTCTTAGTTCTATCTTCCATGAACATTTTGAAGTCCACTTGTGTTTCATGATTTAAAATATTATACACTTGGGGCCAGCACTGTGGCACAGTGGATTAAAGTTCTGGCCTGAGGTGCCAGCATCACATATGGGCACCGGTTCTAGTCCTGGCTGCTCCTCCTCCCATCCAGCTCTCTGCTATGACCTGGGAAAGCAGTACAAGACGGCCAAGTCCTTGGGCCCCTACATCCATGTGGAAGACCTGGAGGAAGCTCCTGGCTCCTGGCTTCAGATGGGCACAGCTCTGGCCATTGCAGCATCTGGGGAATGAACCAGTGGATGGAAGACCTCTGTCTCTGTCTCTACCTCTCTCTGTAACTCTTTCAAATAAATAAAATAAATCTTAAAAAAAATACTATACACCTACAAGTTTCTCAGAAACCCTGAGAAACTCATGACATAAGGCAGGGAGTATTATTTCAAACGAAAATAACCACCTCAGGACAGGCATCTGCCCTAGTTGTCAAGACCATCTGGCACATGCATATCCCGAACTGGAGTGCTTGCATCTGAGTCCTGACTCCATTCCCAATTCTAGCTTCCCACTAACAAGCATCCTGGGAAGCAGGATGTGACAACACAGGTAGCTGGATCTCTCCACCCATGCAGGAGACCTGGATGGGTTTCTGGTTCCTGGCTTTGGCCCTGGTCCAGCCCCAGGTTTGTATGCATTTTGAGGAGTGAACCAGCAGATGGAAGCTCTGTCTCTTTCTCTCAAATAAATAAATGAAGAGACTACTGAGTGACTTGGCTCTTCTGAGGGTCTTCTACTTAGAGCAACAGTCTCCTCCCAATCACTCATAAAGAAGGAGAGTTAAGTACTCACCACCGCCCCATTACAAAGGGAAAACTGAGGCTCAGACTCAAGTGCCCCCCATGGTCAGCTGGCTGCTGAAAGCAAAGCAAGGACCAGCGGCAGGCCCTGTTTCTTCAATTTAGTCTTGTGCACTATGGTAGGAAGCTCACAGGTCTGAAAATACTCCACCTTTTTGCAGCTTCCAAACACTATGACAAACTGTTGAAGACTAAACACCACCTGAAACTCTTCACTAAATCAACACTTTTAGAAATGGGGGATTGTGTTGGTCACTTGAAATTTACCTGCTTCTAAAATGAGGAAAAACTTGCTGTTTTATCCCTGGAGAGATCTTACAAGTTACCCCTTCTCTAGACCTAAATGAGGAAAGTCAGGAAAGAGTGCAGCAGATCAGACCCTTCTGTAGAACCTTGAACTTCAAAGTGCAGACAACTGGCGGTGGGGGTGGGGGTGGGGGTAGGGACGGCTGCTAGCTACGGACTCTCCTAGCAGAAAAGGTCACAAGAAAGGGAAACCTGGAATGGATCAGCCATCTGAAGAGCTTCAAGGATTAGAGTGTAACTGTTTCAAAACGTTAAATGTGTTTAACACTGCACTCCCTGTCTCCTGGATCCACACCTAGCCTGCCCTGTTTCAGACAGAGAGAGTCTGAGCCTATCCCTTCCGGACACATCAGGGTGCTGTCCATCCCAGCTACAGAAACAAACCTTAGGCTCAAAAACAATCAAGCAGTACTCCCATCCCCACACCCACAAGCCAAGCCAACAGACAAGACAGCCTACAGTGAAAGCACTCAGTAAGAGCATGGAGAAGAAGGGGACTGTGAGGACGGTGCCGGAGTAGGGTCCATGCACCGCCGTGGGGTTTCTCCCCGCCTCCCGCCCACACCAGCCCTGGAAGTGTCCTGGACAGTGTCTCCTGGGTCTCTTGGCTGCACGTGCTGAGGAAGCCAGGGTGCCAGCCCCAGGCCTGGGTAAATACTCAGATCACCTGCGTGACCACTGTTAATAACCTCAGCTGGCCACACCGGCTTCTCTGCTCCACTAACGATAACCTGTGGAAGCAGCGACACCCTCAAAGTGTGCCCTCTGTAACATTTTCCTCCATAGAAAAGACGGAGAGGTTACCAAAAAGGAGAAAAGGGCAAAATAATCCACTTGGTAATTCAAAAACTTTTTAAATAGTTCAAAGTATTTTTTACATTAATGCTGACCGTAGAGTAAATTAAAACGTGAAAATTTGTATTTCCAATGCCATCTATTTTTTTTTTTTTTTTTTTGGACAGGCAGAGTGGACAGTGAGAGAGAGAGACAGAGAGAAAGGTCTTCCTTTGCCGTTGGTTCACCCTCCAATGGCCGCCGTAGCCGGCGCACCGCACTGATCCGATGGCAGGAGCCAAGTACTTATCCTGGTCTCCCATGGGGTGCAGGGTCCAAGCACTTGGGCCATCCTCCACTGCACTCCCTGGCCACAGCAGAGAGCTGGCCTGGAAGAGGGGCAACTGGGACAGAATCCGGCGCCCCAACTGGGACTAGAACCCGGTGTGCCGGCGCCACAGTTGGAGGATTAGCCTAGTGAGCCGCGGCGCCGGCCTCCAATGCCATCTATTTTCAACAAAGCTTGGAGCAGAGCCAATAGGCAGACAGGCAGTGAGTGGGCAGGAGACGGACGGCAGGAAGCGGCCAACAGCACACAGATGCGGAGGAGGAGGTGACCAGAGGCCTAGTGTGGGGGCCTGAGCCAAGACAGGAAGGAGAAAGGATGGGTGCATGGCACTTGTGCAGACCCCCAGGGACCTGACAGCTGGCGAGAGGAAGTACAAGGAGGGTAAGTTAGCAATCTTCAGTTAAGACTAAGCATGAAGGGCAGGCATTCCGCTGCACCATTTACATGCCTGCATCCCACACCAGAGGGCCTGGTTTTGACACCAGGCTCCAGCTGCTGACTCTGCTTCCTACTAATGCAGACTCTGGGAGGAGTGGTGATGGCAAGTAATTGGGTCCATGCCACCCACATGGGAGATCTAGATTGCATTCTCAGCTCCCGGCTTCAGCCCCCAGCCAGCCTGGGCCATCCAGCCACGTACATGGAGGGGGGCTGATGAATCAGTGAATGGAAGATCCTTTATCTAATAGAGTATCTTTTTGATAAACATGAATTTTTAACTTTTTTTTTTTTTGACAGGCAGAGAGAGAGAGCTCCCACATGCTAGTTCACTCCTCAAGCACCTGCAATGGCTGGGGCTGAACTGGGCCAACTCTGGGAGCCAGGAACTCAAACCAGGTCACCCACGTGAGTGGCAAGAACCTAATCACTTGAGCCATCATTGCTGTCTTTGAGGATCTGCCTTAGCAAGAAGCTGGAGCAAGCAGCCAGGGTCAGGCATCAAACCCAGGCATTCCCATGTGGGACACCAGTACCCAACCCATCATCTTAATTGCTGGGCTAAGCACCCACCTCTGCAGTGTGTTTCTTATCATTCTAGAAGCTGAGGTAATAAGAAGGCCTTTGAGTGAAGAAGAGGCTTGAACTGGGCAAGACAGCTGGCACTTCTGCAGCCCAGGGCTGGGAAGCTGGTGCACTGACTGACGGCTAATCACAGAGCACATGGCCAACCCTCTCATGCCCCTACCCTGAGGAAGTGGCACTTTTTGAAATTTAGGTGGTATTTGCATAAAATAACACGCTTAGTTCTTAAGGGTTCTGCTTCTCGAGTTTCTACACTGATGTCTACATACCAGGATAGTCCCACCCAAAGGAAATACAGGAAATCTTCCTTACTCCAGGAAAATCCCTTCGTGCCCCTGCCCCATCCTTCTCCCCACTCCAGCCCTACCCTCTGGCAGCAGAGATGGTAACCAGAGAGACAGCATCTTGGGCACTGGTCTGGGTGATAATTTATAGGCTACTTATTTCTCAGCCATTCGTACAGAAGGTGGCAAAATGCCCACCACATTCACCCGTGAATTTTATCCAGGTCAATGGGTGACTGGCAGGGTAAACAAACATCAGAATTCTACAGAGATGGATAAAGCCCCTCCCACCCACTGGGCATGCTCAGAACACCCACTGGCCACGTAGTTTTCCCACCCAGGCGTTCCCTCCTCACTCACCTGGCTGTTTGGGTCTCCAAGTAAGTTACATATATGTGGCACGATCTTGCTTAGAGTTAAAGTCTGTGCTCCAGAGCTGAAAGCAAACAGTTTTCTTGTTAGTGAGAGCAAAGAAGCCCATAGTTCCTCTTCCTCTGTCCCGCCTCACCCCAAGGCCCTCTGTGTCCCCTCCATGGCTGGCTGCAAAGTCAGTGTGCCCTGATGGCCCTTCTGGGCAGAGCTCAGAGCCTTCGGGCTTCCACGCACTTGAGTCTCCTTTCAGGAATCCTGGCTATCTCCATTCTGGCCCTATGGCTTCCGGACTGAGCCAAAGCCAGGCCTTGCCTCCCAGGAGCTGCCCCTACACTACTGTTCTGTCATGTCCTGGTTCCTGTTTTGTGCAAGCCAGTGTGCCAATCCAACTGTGATACCCTAGAGGGTCCTCACCGAACTCTGCGCAGTGAAAGACAGTGACCACACGGCTCAACTCCTCACCATCCTACTGAGTGCTGCCCTCTTGATTACCCTCACCGCCTCCTCAGCGTAAATTCCCAGAACTATTATGATGAAACAAACCTTCAGCCACATGGTCAAATCCAATGACTTGGAAAAAGCTAACACGCAGGGGCCAGTGATGTGATGGTTAAGCCACCACCTGCATCCCATATAGGCACCACCAGTTCAAGTCCCGGCTGCTCCACTTCCAATCCAGCTCCCTGCTAATGTGCCTGTGAAAGCAGTGGAGGATGGCCTGGATCTTTGGGCCCCTGCACTTATGTAGGAGATCCAGATGGAGCTCTGGGCTCCTGGTTTCGGCCAGGTTAGCCCTGGCTATTGTGACCATGTAGGGAGTCAATCAGTGGACAGAAGACCTCTATCTCTATCTTTCCCTCTGTAACTCTGCCTTTCAAAAAAAGAAAATAAATCTTAAAAAATAAAAAAGGCTAATGTTGAGAAAAAATTTACAAAGAAATGCAAACATTATAATCCCAATTTAAAAAAAATATTTATACATACACACACACATAACTTTACAGGTAGAAAAAAATAAGGTGGCAGAATTATTGTAATCTATTTTCTTCCTTATGTTAATTTGTGTGTGTGTATATATATATATACACATACACACACAGTATTACTGTTAAAGTCAGAAAATGTGATTTGAAATTTTTAATTAAAAAAAAAACCTGTCATTTACATAAGCATGAGGAAAGATTTGTTCAATGTCAATGGCCGTTAGGAAAATGCAGATTAATGCCACACTGAAACATCACTGCATACACATAAAATGGCTAAAAAAAAAAAAAAAAAACCACAGTGATAAGAGCCAATACCAGCAGGGAGGTATGAAGAAACCAGATCTTTTGAACCTTGCTGGCGGGAATGGGATTTGGCAGTTTCTTTTAAAACCAAAAATGGACTTACCAAATGACCCAACGATTAACCACAATTATATCATGGGGCACTGACCCAAGAAATGGAAGTTCACGTAGAACTTGTACACCCATGTTCATAACAACAAAACTGGAAATTACCCAGACACTCTTCAGCAGGTGTGATACACCTGTGCATGGAATCCACTCAGTGTTAAGATGGACTAACTGTTATGGGCAACAACATGCATGCGACCTCACTGCCATGATACCAAGTGACAAAAAGACAATCTCAAAAGGTGACACACTTTATATAAAACCCCTGGTTCACCCTGGACTTACGCATTGAGTGTGGCAACAAGGCAGAGACAGATGCCTTCTCGCGTGCGGAAATTCTTGTGTTTGAAGCCTCCCAGCATCCTGTCCCAGACGTACTGCAGACAACAAAGAACAAGTGAGGAGGACAGAGCCTTCCGCAGCCTTGCCTTCAGCAAGGTGGCCGCAGAAGAGGAGCCTCTTAATAGGCATCTCATAGGTCTCATCCCCTAGCAACCCACTTAGCCCTCTAGAGAACGCCCTGTAAAACAGGGACAGACAATGTTATCAGGTCTATCAGGTTACAGTTTTCAAACCACATTCCCTTTCGTAGAATTGCACTGAATTTTCCCAACAATCCTGAAAGGAAAGGAGAGCTGTTCCTATTTTACGGGTGAGGTAAGTGAGGCCAAAAGACGGCAGGCGCCTTGCTGAGGAAGCACTCACTGTACTCACTGCCTGGAACAGCTGTCCCAGCCTGTTCCTGAGCCCAGCACCTGCTTGACTCCCGGGGCTCTCTCTGAGGACCCCCAGCAACAGGACCCTGGAAAGCAGGGTTGTGTCACCCATCCCTATGGCCACAGCTCACTGGCAGACAGGGACCAGAGCTCCATACCTCTGGCCCCCACAGCTGCCTCTTTTCAGAACAATGAGAATCAGTAAAGACAAGGAGCTAAAGAGTCTAATGGAGGAGCAGACACAGTGGCATAGCAGGTAAAGCCGCCACCTGCAGTGCTGGCATACCATACAGGCGGCAGTTCAAGTCCCAGCTGCTCCACTTCCAAGCCAGCTCTCTGCTATGGCCTGGGAAAGCAGTAGAAGATGGCCCAAGTCCTTGGGCCCCTGCACCCACGTGGGAGACCTGGAAGAAGCTCCTGGCTTCGTGTCAGTGCAACTCCGGCCATTGCGGCCAATTGGGAAGTGAACCAGAGGACGTAAGACCTCTCTCTCTCTCTCCTCTCCTTCTCTCTCTGTGTAACTCTGACTTTCACATAAATAAATAAATCTTTAAAAAATGTCTAAAGGATTTAATAATAAGTCAAGCCAATACTATGTATTAAAATATATGGGGCCAGATTAAATGCTATAAAAATTTTCCTAAGTAATACAGCAGCTTGAAAGACATCTCTGGCGTTACAGCCTGCAGGAGTGTGTACACACACAACCATACCAGTGGGCGCTGGAACACTTCGCTTGCCTACCTGAGGGTTAGCAGCTTGATCCATGATCTTTAGCAGCAGAGTCTGGTCTTGCTCCCGCACAGAGTCTTTCGCATCTCCCAGTCTGTCTATTAGACTTGGCAGCACTGAAAATCAAAATGCAAGTTGAGAACCTGTTTGAAGATCTGTGGTCACAGAGTGTTTCGATTTCCACTACCTGGGAAGACAAAGCCCTGGCCTCACTGGAATTATCTCATTCGAAAGCCACCCATCCTGTGTACAGCTCCACTCTCTTTGCTGAAACCCATGCAAATAACCACAAGAAAACGACTGTCTCCCTCCTTCCCCTCTTCCCTCCAGCCAGCTCCCATCACATCTGTAAGCTGAGGAAGTACTATAATAGAAGGCCTTGTGAGGGAAGAGTCAACACAAAAGGGAATGCTGGAGGGGCTGTGAGGTGCTACAGCAAATTAAGCCTCCACTTATGATACTGGCATCCCACACCAGAGCACCAGTTCCAGTCCTGGCTGCTTCATTCTGATCCAGCCTCCTGCTAACGTGTCTGGAAAGGCAGCAGTAGATGGTCCAATTACTTAGGGCCCTGCCACCCATGTGTGCGACCAGGATGAGTGCCCAGCTTCCAGCTTCAGCTTGGCCCAGCTCTTGCAGCCATTTGCAGTCTCTCTGTCCGTCTGTCTGTCTGTCTGTCTCTCTTCCTATTCCTCTCCCTCTCCCTCTCTCTTGCTGCTCTTTCAAATAAAAAGAAAAAAATCTTTAAAAAAAAAAAAAAGTAATTAGGAAAGAGAGACAAAGGGAGAGTCCATCTTATGTGCTTGGCTGGGCACTTATGGGGCAACCTCCATCTCATCATTTGCATGTCTGTTTAACTGTACATCGCACACACATGTCAGGTGGTGACTTGTACACACCAGAGGTCAGCACACTCTTCTTCTCTTGAGAATTTACAATCCTCTACTACAAGAGTTGTCCCTGAGAATTCAGCTAATTTAGAAAGAAAATGGAACACTATTAAGATATCAAATTTCTAAGTGTCAGAGCTTTATTTAAAAAAAAAAAAAAATGTAGACAGATAGCTTAGTGCCACAATGGGAAAACAGTTCACCACCTGTTCTCAAGGAGGGCCCTGATTAGAAAAGAACACTCAGGGGCGGGCACGCGGTGCAAGAACTAAGCAGCAGCTAAGGGCTCAGGGCTCGGGTCTGCTCCAGATTCCAAATTCCTTCCCCCTGGCTCCTGCAGGAGACCCAGATGGAGCTCCACGCTCCCGGCTTTGGACTGGCCCAGCTTCAACTGTTGTAGGCACTTGGGGAGCTGATAAGAGGATGGGAAGATTTCTCTCCCTGTCTGCTGACATGCCACACCCCTCAACTTTCTCTCTCTGCCTTTCCAATAAATGAAAAGAGATACACGTGCATTAACAGAAATGGAGACATTGGGGCTGGCGCTGTGGCACAGTGGGTTAACACCCTGGCCTGAAGCACCGGCATCCCATATGGGCGCCGGTTCAAATCCCAGCTGCTCCTCTTCTGATCCAGCTCTCTGCTATGGCCTGGGAAAGCAGTGGAAGATGGCCCAAGTCCTTGGGCCCTTGCACCCACGTGGGAGACCAGGAGGAAGCTCCTGGCTTTGGATCGGCACAGCTCCGGCCATTGCAGCCATCTCAGGAGTGAACCAGTGGATGGAGGACCTCTCTCTGTCTCTACCTCTCTCTGTAACTCTTTCAAATAAATAAAATACTAAAATCTTTTTTTTTAAATGGAGACATTCTATTAGGAATGGTCGCACAGACAGAACTGCTTAGTGTTTACATGGCAATCATGAAATGCCAGCAGTGGAGAATTGAAAGATACTAAGTCATCTCTAAATCTCTGAAATCTGTGGTTTCTCTTTGCTTTGCTGACACCTTGGTCTTGCCCCAAAATAAGAGTGAGCACATACTGCACACCTTAGTGACATTTACGATCAAACTGAGGCCAGCAAGGCCAATGACAATCATCTGCAGAAAAATCCACCTGGCTCGGTTCTGTAAAGGAAGGCTGGAAACAAATAATGACCAGGTCAGCACTAACAGTGAAGGCAATTCTGCCTAAGAAGTAAAAGTGGGGGGCTTAGGACTCCAGCACCCCATATGAGCTGCAGCTCCAGCTGCACCGCTTCTGATCCAGCTCCCTGCTAACACACCAGGGAAAGCAGCAGATGATAGCATGAGTACTTAGCCTCCTGCCACCCACGTGGACATCTAGATGGGACGCCCTGGCCAGAGAGTGAACCAGCAGATAGACCATCATCTCTCCCTGTGTATCCTTCTACCTCTAACAATGCCTTTCAAATAAATGAACCTTTAAAAAAGAAAAGAAAAAAAAAAAAAAAAAAAAAAAAAAACAAAACTAAAAGTGGCAGGAGTATTGCATATTAGAATACATGCTACTGCTGCTCCACATTAGCATGCCGAGGCTGAAAGGAAAAGGCAGTGGGGATGAAATGGTGGTGGGTGCAGTTAGGTCACTGAGCAGGGCTGAACCTGGCAGGGCAGGGGTGGCAGTGAGGCAGCCCCCATCCCCCATCCCCCACCGCCATGCAGGCCCAGGAAGGGGCTGAGTGGGGGGGCACGTTGGAGGAGTAGGGAGAGGTTGTGGAGGTTAGAGGAGGGGCCTGGAGAGGAGGCGGTGGAGGGTAGGGGCCGGGCCCTGCAAGGCAAAATCGCAGCCAGATGGAGAGCTGGGAAGGCTGTGGGTGGAGAGTCGGCCGGTCCTGATCTCCCCGCGGCTCACCTGTGCCGATTTGCGCCTTGAACCGATCCTGCAGCCGGGTCACCAGGGCGGACAGGATGTCCATGCCTAGGAGAACCACCTGCAACGACAAACACCGGGAGCCCGTCAAAAGCTGGCCTGGAACGCGGCACGCCCTCCCGCTTGCTCTGACACCGCCCCGGAGCCCAGGGCGTGCGTGCACTGATCAGCAAGCAAGGAAGAAAAATCACTCAGCGAAAATAAACCGCACAGGCAGGAGTCCCGGCGCCGCCAGACCCGCGGATGCCAAACGCGCACAGGACCCGCCCCCTGTGAGCCCCGCCCCAGTGAAGGGTGCGTATGCAAATTTGGGGGCGGTCGGCGAGTGGCCTTCTGGGTAAAAACCGAGCAGCCGTTTTGCGGCCTTAGGGAACCTTAGAAAACAAGGAGTTCGTGATTTTGCGCCCGAAGTCGTAGTTATTCGAGAAATGGTAGCTACCAGGAGGGAGAGGACGAGACTCGCGAATCAGTCACCATAACCCAACCTGGGGCTGGCGCCTCCTACACCTAGCCGACTTAAAACACCCATCAACCATCCTTTTCTTGGGGTTGCGTTACTGTCCAATGAACGCATAGTGAGGGCAGTACTGCTAACGCCTGAACAACACGTTCGCATCGGCTAAAATTTCGGTTTTAGCTCGGTGCAATTTTTGGAAAAAATGAACCTCCCTTTTTCCAGATATGTTGATCTTAAAAACAGGTATTACTTCCAAAATGACTAACAGTTCCCAACACAACCAGCAAGTGGCATCACGAGCACAGAGTTGAGAGAAGTTCAGTGTTTCTTCAGCTGTTTGTTGCTAACCCCCTGGTTCCAGTTCCCTACTGATCAGGGTATGTTTTACTGCCATGAACAACTAGTGGGTATTACGGGTGCTTTGATATGCGGTGATGATGGCACCTCCTAAACCCCTAAGTCCAGTCTGTTAAAAAAAAGCCTTAGACAAGTTCCAGAAGAGGGGCTCCCAGGTGACACCTGAGAACACCTGTCAAAGCTGTGAGGGTCATCCACATCATGGAGCCTGAGGAACACCTAAAGGAGTATGACATCCCTGGTGAAAACAGAAAATCTGAATAAAGTCTAACAATGTAACTGGAACAAATATACCATGCTAATGTTAGATGTAATAATAGGGAAACTATACATCCAAAGCTGTTCATAAAAAGTGACTTATTTTTTTAAAAGAGCCATCACGTAGTTGGAACTGGCTTTCCCCGGATGAGATAAATGCTAAGCATCTGCACCATATGGAGGTGGGCGTGGTATCCACTACAGATAGAATTAATGTCGCCTTCAGGTCCCACTATAACCCTTCATAAATTGTTCAAGACTAGGGTGTAAGAACCCTATTGTATTTTCAGATACACAGGCTATGTGAGTCAGCCTAACTGTGGAACTGGCAGGAATGCAGATTCCAGCTTTTCCAGGACAGCACTTTACTTGGTGTGTGTGATGACAGCAGGCCTGACTGCTTGACAGTGCGGTTGCAAAAGGCCCCATGTGGTCAGGGGTCCAGAAAATAAACCCCAAACAGGCATAGAGAGGTCAAGGGTGCCAGCCGCAAAGGACAGAAGGTAGCTCCAGGCACCTGCACAACAGAATAAATATGTGGACTTCGGAAGGACACACGGGATTCCTAGACAGTTGTGCAGTTCACCCTCTGCCATCCCTCTCCCCCTCAATGTCCAGGGAGGGGAGCAAGACACAGCAGCCTCATGCATGTAACAGACCCCACTGCACTGCCACTTCCCCACTGCAGAAGAAGACACAGGGCCAAGTCCTTGCCCAGAAGACCCCATGGGCTTTGCGGGATTAAATAAGGTGTGTCTGTAAAGTTCTTGCCTGTTGGTGAGGGCTGGGCTACCCACAGAAGAAGACTGTTGCTGCCACTGCCATGGGCAACAGATGCTAAAGGGAAGATTCCCGAGGCTGGCACAGGGGCCTCCAGGGAAGTACACAGGGTTGCATTTTGAAAATCGAGAAGACATCCACACACAGGAAGAGCACTAGCAAAGGGGGATGGAAGTCAGGACCCAACAAGCACAGGGAGGCCCTGGAGGGCCATGTACGAGAGTGTCCAGGGGGCTGAGTCTTTAAATCTGTGGCCACCCTGGGGAAGATGGCCCGGAAGAGGTTCAGAGATTGGGGAGGTGGGGGGAGGGTCGTCGGACTGACCCTGGAGCAACTTCTCCAACATCCAACATCCCTGGCTTGTTTCCCACTCAGCCCCTTGCATGTATTTCCTCAGAATTTCCATGGCGCACTGCAGAATCCTGGGTGTGAGGAGGTAGGTGACAGCCCTCCTCTGCTGACTAGTAATGAAGCAGGCGGGAGTAGATGAGCGTCCAACGTCCAAGACGGCCTCTGTCTGAGCACCTTCAAGAGATGCCTCTGAAAAGAGGCGCCACGAACAGCCTGTGTGTGGCCAGCACTCCCGGGAGAGCAACTCAGCCCGTGGGGTATGACGCAAAAGAACTAGTGCTCAAGAGACAGCGTGCCTCCCATTCACGGGAGGGGCCCTGCCATGAAGAAGGGGCAACCACAGCCCTAAAAAGCACTTCTGACAACCTCCTGGGTAGCCCATGAGGACAAAGTTGGATTTCAATGCCCTACAAGGTTGGTGGCCCAGCCTCAGGCAAACCTTCAGACTGGAAACCCCAATAGCCAGGCCTCAGCCTCTGAGTAGCCCAGGAAAATCCTAGCCCCTGACTGACTTCAGAGTAAGATGATCACAGGCTGCCCGTGCCCCAAGCAAATAAAAACACAATTCATTTCTGGACGCACAGAACACACGCTAGTGCAGCCCTCAATTTACTCTGCAAATGATTGTGTAGAAACGACATCCAACATGCAGCCACAGGCAGCTGGCACACAGGCAGCATCGTTGAGGATGGCAGAAGCAGGCCCGCCTGCTCTGGATCCCAGTGGATAACGCATGTGATTAGAAATCAGGGCAGAGGCCGGCGCCGCGGCTCAATAGGCTAATCCTCCGCCTAGCGGCGCCGGCACACCGGGTTCTAGTCCCGGTCGGGGCGCCGGATTCTGTCCCGGTTGCCCCTCTTCCAGGCCAGCCCTCTGCTGTGGCCAGGGAGTGCAGTGGAGGAAGGCCCAGGTGCTTGGGCCCTGCACCCCATGGGAGACCAGGAAAAGCACCTGGCTCCTGGCTCCTGCCATCGGATCAGCGCGGTACGCCGGCCGCAGCGCGCTGGCCGCGGCGGCCATTGGAGGGTGAACCAACGGCAAAGGAAGACCTTTCTCTCTGTCTCTCTCTCTCACTGTCCACTCTGCCTGTCAACAACAAAAAACATAAATAGAAATCAGGGCAGAGAAATGATGCCTAAGAACAGGTTCACAGATTTTCTTAAAAACCAAATAACAGGATAAGCAAAACTAAGATGAACAGAGAATTTAAACAAGAAACTAAGTTGGCAGAAAAAAATCCAAAGTAAAGCACGGAGAAGCAAAGTATGGAAAATCCAAACAGGTAGGCAAGAGACAGAGGAGAGAGAGAAAAAAGAGCTAACATAATTTAAAGCAGTTCTAAAAGGGAAAACAAGAGACAACGGGTAAAAAACAGCAGCTGATACACATCAAGGTGGCTATCATTTTTAAAATACACAGAAAATAACAAGACTTGAACACTGCTGCTGGGAAGGTAATCCAGTGACTGGGGAAAACAGTATGGTGGTTCTCAAATATAATTAGACATAACATTAGCATATGGTCCAGCAATTCCACTGTGGGTTCATACCCTAAGTGAACCAGAACCTCAAAAGATATTTGTACGTTCATGTTCACAACATCATTATCTACAGATGGATGCACAAAACATGGTGTACTCACACACTGAAGAGTCTTAAAAAGGGATGAACTTCCGGTTATACAGATGAACCCTGAGGACACTGTGTCTAGTAAAATAAGCCAGTCACAAGTAAGACAGATAGCCTGATTCTACATACACGAATGCTGGTGGAGGCTGCACAACAATGCTAGCGTATTTCTTGCCACTGAGCTGTAAACTGGAACTTGGTTCAAACAGTGAATTTCATATTATGTATATTATACAACTTAAAGAGATGCTTTAAAGCAACTGCTAATGGTTATAGAGTTTCTTTTTGGAGTGACAAAATTTTTGTTCTACAATTCGATCATGGTAATGGGTGTACAACTCTATAATATACTAGCACTGTAAATCACTGGATTATACACTTGAAAAAAAGCAATACCTGAAGATATAATGGCAGAAAATGTTTCAAAACTGAATAAAAACATGAAAACACAGATTCAAGATGCCCAATGAAGCACAGCAAGCTAAGGCACACACACAACTGCACCCCTAGAGACATGAGGTGCTCCTTCTGAAAGGTGAGGACGAGGAGGGGTCTGCAGGAGCCACCATCAGCCACCCTCCAGGACTCCAGCATCTGCAGATGGGAATGGGGACACCATCCATGTGAACGCCAACAGCACAGGAGTCAGCACCTAACAGAAATGCTTCAGACGAAAGGGACCATCCCCAGTGCAATTCTAAACATGTAAACAGGCATGAAGAGTAATTACAGTGTAAATACAGACTGTGTAACAGCAATAATGATGCTGTGGAAAAACAGAAACTTTAACAGTACTACACTGTGCCATCTCTATGCCTAGAAGTTAACCATTCCTTTAAATGCAGCTTTGCTGATTATTCCAGTAATTGCAGCATGCATCCCTGTGTTAAACCAAAGTCACAAGCTAAATATTACTCTCACTTTCCTCCCAATACCATCAGGACTTGAAGGATAATAACACATGTGTACAAGAAGTGTGGATGCCAACTAAGCAGTGCTTTTCACGGAAATTACAGCTCCAAATACTTGTAAGAAAAGGATATAAGCAAGGTGAGAAGAATCTATCCTAACATTTTAGGAGAAAAGGAGAAATTAATGAAAAGAAACTGTACCATAGAGAACATCATTCAAGCCAACATTTGCCTTATTGTGAAGACCAGTAAAATCAGTACACACACAGTGAGGCTGATCAACAACAACAAAGATTAGGTAACAACCAGTGCTGAGAGG